ACAAGGTTCATCATCCTTCGATGCCTCTACGACATAGCTACGTCCTCGATATTTTTTGGGTTTCCTATCCTTGGTGTGCTTGGTCTTTTTACAGTGTTTGCAAGGAGGACAACTCTTTCTATTCCGTTGCTCTGTGGTGCGGACAGCTAGAGTGGACACCTCTATTGCATGGCTACATGGTGCTGGGTCTCTTTTCAACTTGACTTTTCTTCTGTAGTCTTCTCTTCACGAGATGGTGAAGCCTTCACGAACAGATGGCAAGGGCTTATTGTTTAGGATTCGTCCCCAAACATCATCAAACATTGGGTCAAGTCCTACAAGCAGTTCAAAGAGACATTCTTCTTCAACTTTCTTTTTGCTACTTGCTACATCCTCTAGATGGTGCCACTTTTCATCACTAACTAAATCAAGTCCTGCCACAGAGATACCTTTTCGAGATAATACTTCTTAAGGCTATGTGTATCTTGTTTCGATTTCCATATCTTAGCTTTTATTTCAAATACTTGAGCAGCATTCTGACTATCACTATAAGCTTCCTTCACTACCTCCTAGATATCACGTGCTGAAGGCAAGAACATAAAGCTCTTCGTAATTGTTGGAGCCATTGCATTCACAAGCCAGGACGACACCATCACATGTCTTTTGACTTCTAAGTCCTCTATGCCTTGACATTGGATGAAGGAGGAGCCGCCGTGTCATTGGTGACATGCCTTAGTCGGCCCCGACCATCAAGCGCAAGTCCCATTGACTGTGCATATTCTTTGGAGTTTTCACCAGAGAGTTTCTCTGGAACGAACATCGCTGCCAAGCTTTCAAAAGCAGCAGCAATAAGGCGTGACATACCATTTGCGAAGGACCCATTGGTTGTTGGGTTCGATTTGGTGGATATCATCTCTGGATGTTGGGTCGACTCCATCTCAGTGTTGGAAGAATGGGACGTTGCCCCAGTGCTCTAATACCATGAAGAGAACAATGGCAGAAGGGTATGAAATCAAATTCTTTCTTGATTAATTCAGAATGTACAGGGGAGATTATATACAAAGTAAATGAATCAGGGAGGCTGAGAATCATGCAAATATAATCAGGAAATAATTTTGAAATTTAAACTCCTAATCTATATACAATAAAGGCCTATAAAATCTCCTAAATCGTTGCGATTTCCTACAATATCCTCTACAAACTGCCTTACTGTCTGAACAATGGCGCAAGAGAACTTTCTTTTGTCTTTGAGAAAGGACTATGTGGTTCCTTGAAAGGGTATATCTCAATGTTTTAAGATTTGTTCGTTGTAATGACTAAACTTGATTCACAACTTCAGCATTGTAAAAGGGATTCTTTTTCTTTGGTGCTGTGCTTCCTTGATAACTTACAAAACTTGTTGTAATGTCATAAGTGTCGATGGTAGCCCCCATGGTGAAATGGTGTGGTGATCTAGGGACTGATTGAGTCCTTGCTATGAAGCCCTCAAGTCATGGCAGATGCTATGGCTGTGGTGGTCGTAACTATGGTAGTTGCCATATTGTTAATGATAGGGGGACAAGACTGTCACCTTAGTCCTTATTCTTTCTTATGTATAGCCAATGGCTCTTGTTTTTAGGGGTAAAAAGGCATATCGAAATTCCTGATCTATGACTGAGGCTTTGAGGTTGAGGGATACAATGAAGCATCCTTAAGCTCTTAAGTCCCGGAGGAATTCTGATCCAGGTTACTTGTGGAATTCTTTAACCTCTAATTGGTTTATGTTTTCGTTCATCATCTTGAACTTTTTGCTTATCCGTCTGTCTTTTTCTCTAGATGAAAATTATAGCAATCCAAAAGCTTGAGCTTTGTTCCATTGGTTTCTATTGAGTTGACGTTTTCCTTCAGTAATTATAGCTAATGCAGTCCTTTTGTTGTAGTTATGGTTTTTGTTAACAAAAATAACAACAATAATGTAAGGTTATTCCGAATTTTACTCAAACACTGGAGAAAACTGGATTAGGGATGGGAGATCACATGTAACTATATTATTTATTAATGCTGATGGATAACGTTTACTTAATCAAAACTAGAGGGACTGGATTGACACTTCTGTAATTCATGTGTGGTAGCGTCATCAAATGTGTATTTAATCATTTGGGTTATTTCTTGAAAAGGCTGCCATACCTCAATATGTGTCCTACTATGCCATCTGCCATGGATATGCTTGCCCCATATTGGGCTTCATACTCCATTGATATCAATGAACTTCGAGAAATTTTCTCACCATTTAATAGTCAACAGGTTTCATGAACTTGGAACAATTAGATGCTGCTATAAATTAGAAGCCGTCTGGTATTATGTTCATCCGGCTATCTTAAATTTCAGGATCCATAAATATGCCATCTCAGGTTGAAAATATAGTGTAGAATATAGAGAGTGAATATTAGTCAAGTTGAATATTTATTAGGTGCATAAGATTCAAAACATGCATGTCATAGTAGCATATTACAAAAGGTTATAAATACAAATTGAGAATTCATATGTAGACTTTAAAGAAGGCTACTTTTGAAAATCGGCTCTTCCCAGGGCTATTTGATCAGATAATGAGGAACAAGAGAGTATCAAAAAGTCCTGAAAGGCAGATGTGATGGGGATGCCTCCTTAGGACTGAAAAATTTTTATCCAAAGATGATCTTTATCTTTAAGCAATGTCACAGCCAGCGCATTTGATTTTGGCCTTCATTACCGTCAGCAATTGATACAGACAGGCTAGTGTAGCTGAGCTATACAGAAGTAAGTATCTTATACAGAAGATAGTGTAACACAAGGACATATCAGAAATGCAAATTAGTTATAATAAGACCTGTTGCCGGGTGCTTTTGCCACCCAACAATTATGGGGGTTCAAATCTCTGAAGTTCACCTTTCCTAATTTGTACAAAATACCAATTATATTATTTGCGCTAACTTTCTATTTCCATATCAAACACGAGACTCTTAAATATCATTGTATCCATTGGTCTCCCCCCCCCCCCCCAAAAAAAAAAACAAAAATATGTTGTTTTCTTTTTCCCCCATTAAAATTCGATTTTAGGTCAATTTCACTGGGGCTTTTATACTTCTTTCTCTCTGTTGCTGCTTCCTGCTTGTTTAGCTGTTTAGCATGATAATTTATAATGAGAACCACAATTAATTCATGCTTTTAAGGAATTTTGAAACTCCTCAATTTAACAAGGGTTTCAATCCTTCCATAGGGATTGAACCTTCAAATTGCAAGTGACCTTTTGTAAGATTTTCAAAGAGTTCAAACCAAAGGAAGATTTTATATTAAGTCGTTGAAACATGATCCGGATTACAAATATGGAAATTTCCTATATTATATTATTAAAAATCTGAACCTTTTTATGTAATTTTTTTACTATTTCTTTGGTAAAATTAACATTTTAGTTATATATTTTTAGTATCATGTGTTGTATTATTTTTATATTATTTTGCATCATTTTCTATCTGATGACTTTTCTATCATATAAAATTATTTGAAGTTATTATTAATAAATGTTAAGAATAAAAATATAAATTAATAAAAAAATCATAGGTAATTATGTATTTCAGAAACATTTGACCCTGCCCTCATAAGTTGTTTTCTAGCCGTGCCATTAATTTTAGCATATACCTTAATTTGCTTTGATACTGTTTCTGACATTAAGAACTTACTGTACCAAATGACTTCATTCTTGGCCCTACCTCTTAAATGAAACATAGCCGATAAGTCCAATTTGTGTTTGAAGTTTCGGATAACTTTTTATGTGTTGAGTTATCTGGTTTTTATGCTTGTAAGATTATAGACTGGGTCTATTTTGTGCTTTTGAATATGCTATGATGGTAGTTATTGTAAGATATCATGTAAAGTCTGTATCGTGTTTAAATCCTACTAATTGCATTTTATGACAGTTTCTTTCCATCATGACATGAAAATAATCTTAGCTTCACCTTTTTAGGTGACCACTTCCCTGACTTTTGATAACTCAAGTCTCCTTTTAGCTAATCCTGCCAATTGCCTGCATCGTTTGTTACATGTAACCCTTGATAACTGGATTACTGCTCTGTCAGTCTTCTCCCTTGTTTCCCTTGTTTTTATACTCCTTGCCGAACTTGTCTTTTCTAGTGTCCTGGAGCCATCTTCTCTTATAAACATGGCCCAATGGACTACTCGGTTCATTATATTACTCTGAAATATTTTATTTTGTGGAGTTTAAAAGATACATTTCACTTTTCAAAAGAAGGAAATTCAAATAAATTCAAATATTTGCGCATAAAAGTCAGTCTTGGATAGAAAACTTATTCTATTCACTTTGTTGATGAATTTTCTTTGCAAGCTTTCAATGATACCTAATTTCCGTGATCTTGTGTATGCATTCATTGGCTAGAAATAGCAAGCTAACTTTTTCCCTTTTCAATTCTTGCATGTTATGTGTTTATCATAAAAATGGGAATAACCCAAAGTGAGCATTGACCAGCTCTTTTATGCCATATGATAGCAGCCAGCCACCATGGAATCTTGGGGAGGAAAAAAGGACTGAGCTTCTAAGACTCTGTTTTCTCAGATTTAGAATGAGATCCCAGGGTTGTAAACATCTAGAAGACAGCAGTGCGAGTGTTAGGTGATCAGTCAGTACTCATTAAGTATTTCACACGTAATCTGGATTTAAAGTTGTTGTGGAAGATGAATTAGGAATTGAACTATTGGGAACTACATGATTAGTGGCTGAACGAGTGTGTTGTCTGATTTTGGTGTATTAACACTGACCGGTAAATTGTCCCAAAAAAATCGAACTAATTTTATGCAATACTTCTCAAATATATTGTCTGTATATATTGTCTTCAAAGAAGACTGCAGATTGTAGGGAGTTGGATATGCGTTTTAACTAAGGTTGGCCAGTAAAATATCAATTTCTTTTCTTTTTCCTAATCATTACTTTGATTTTTTATAACTAATATGATTTCACTGGATCTAATGAGTAGAATCTTCATTCATTGCAGGAGATGGTGAGCATTCTATCCCTGAAGGAGATGGTGTTCGAGATAACAATTCCTCTGATGGCAACAAATCAGACATGAATTCTGGGGGATCTGATCGTACTAATTTGGATTGGAGAGAATTCCGAGCAAAGCTATTAAGAGATGAGCTGGTAATATATTTGTTCCTTGAAAGCATATCTAGCTGTCATCTCTTATTCTTCTCTAGCTCCTGTTTTACGTGGACAATTTTGATTTTTGAGTTTTGAAAATGTATTTACATTTGAGAACATGTGTTATATTCTAGGCTCAAACATGCAGTAGAGAGAAATCTGGTCTGAGATCTGAACACACACACACACGGAGGAACCCTATCTTGAAGACATAATCACATCTCTTTCCTAATTTATATGTGTATATGTTGGAAAAGTGACCGTTATTTCCACCATTCAAGTTTGCTGATTTCTGTAGGTTATATATCCTTTAGGGGTGCACATGAGAGAAAAGATCCAAGACTGCATTATTAACCTCACCTATGTAAGATCACATCAGCAAGTAGCTGATCTTCTAACCAAACCCCTTGACAAGGCACAGTTTGATGAATTAGTTAGCAAGTTGGGAATGCTCGATATCCATTTGCCAGCTTGAGGGGGAGTGTTGGAAAAGTGACCTTTATCTCCACCATTTAAGCTTGCTGATTTCTCTAGGTTATATCCCTGATTTCTTGGGATTAGGATATATTATGTCTTTTATTTCTGGCAGATTATGTGGGATTTCCACATCTGTTTTACTTCTATATATTTCTCCATACTTTGCACTATTATCAATAATAAGAAGAGATTCTAAAGATTCATAGTATATATTTGGTAGCTTGAAGTTGCAACTGAATTATGACTTGTAGCATTTTGTTTGGGAGAATGACATTTACGTACCATTAAAATGGGACATTTTGTGAGACCATTCTATCGTATGCCTGTTTTAATGGTACGTAGACATCATTCTCCCCATTTTTTGGCTAAGAAGATTTTGATTTTTGAAAAATACATGCTCCGAAATTAGAATATAACATGATTGCATTTTTGCTTGAATGGTGGATAGCTTAGTAGCTAACTAGAGCATTCAAGTCGTGTTTCATACATTCTCTGGTAATGTCCTTCTTGGCCTCGATGCTTCAAACTTCAAAGGTTGTGGTGATTTCCTTATTCTTCGTGCCTGTCATAGAAACATGCATGGTAGTTGCGAGATTATGCCTTTTTGATTGATCTGCCATAATGCCAGCGATTTGGGTCAATGAATTGGTTAAAGCCACGACTTGATTTTGCCTGTCCTTTGATTATACCACTTAAAAGCTAAAAATTTCTACGCTAGATGCTTATCTTTCTGACTTCTTGTATTGCTAATCTCTCTTCGTGAAGAATCAACTATTTCGAATTGGTGCACATGTAAGAAGTAATGAAAAATTGGTACTTATATCTTAAAGCACTCACTTGATCAACAGAAAGAAGTAGCAGAATCTGATGCTCAAAATCAAGGCGGGACATTGCACAGCTCCAAACCACTTGGCCCAAAGTGGGCTCACCCTATTCCAGTGCCTGAGACTGGTTGTGTACTTGTTGCCACAGAAAAGCTTGATGGTATTCGCACATTTGAAAGAACTGTCGTACTACTCCTCAGATCTGGAACTAGGCACCCACAAGAAGGGCCTTTCGGAGTTATCATCAATCGTCCTCTTCACAAAAAGATTAAACACATAAATCCTACTAATCTTGATTTAGCAACCACTTTCTCTGACTGTTCGTTGCATTTTGGGGGACCTCTCGAGGCAAGCATGTTTTTGTTAAGAACAGGGGAGAAGTTGAAGCTACCAGGATTTGAAGAGGTGATCCCCGGCCTATGCTTTGGAGCTCGAAACAGTTTGGTTGAAGCTGCAGTGCTCGTGAAGAAGGGATTACTGAAGCCACAGGATTTCAGATTCTTCGTTGGCTATGCAGGATGGCAGCTGGATCAGTTGAGAGAGGAGATTGAGTCAGATTATTGGTATGTGGCTGCATGTAGCTCAAGTTTGCTTTCTGGCGCTTCAACAGATTCCTCAGAAAATTTGTGGGGTGAGATTTTGCAACTCATGGGTGGCCATTACTCTGAATTGAGCCGGAAGCCCAAGCAAGATATATAGTTGCTAGCTTATCATCTATGCTTCATGAATTGAAGTCTCTTGACAGATAATGAAGCATGCTTTGTAATCAGGATGCTATGTGGGGGGAGCCAAAAATGTACATAAGTTCTCTTTGATGCAAAATACTTGGATATATTTCTTCTCTGGCCTTCACTATTATTCATTTCAGTAGCAATTCCACTCTATAGGAGTTTTGTAAGTATGCTTGTTATATATAGCTCAGCTAAAGGATAAGATCAAGTTTTCTGCTTTGGCTTGGAATTTTTCCATGGCACCTTTCGGTTATTTTGCCAAGTAGAGATGTAGAATTACCTTAGAAAAAGTTTTAAACTAGGAAAATCTCCCAAACAAAAAAAGATTGTTAAATTTTAAAATTTCAAATCAGTATTGGTTATTATACTCGTGAAGAAAATGACTATACTTAAAAAACAAATGACAACACATTTTTATAATAATTTTTGATTTGGTGGTCATTTTTTTGGGGGATTTTCTCTTTTAAAATTGGATATAATTGTCCTTTACTAAGTTGGGCTTTGCTCAATTTAAGCAAATGCATGGGGTATGAAATTCAAGTTTTTTTTACATCTCTTTTTTCCCTGCAAACTCACCTCAGCACAAGGCATTCAGTATTTCAGCTCATTCACATTTCCATTTGGGTCACTGTTGCCTTTATTGAGAAGAGAATTAGTTTACGAAGGAGTGAGATGAGTGAGAAACCTAGTGAGAGAGAGGGTGTGCACGATAGATGTAGGATCAACCCGGATGCTACGCTGGAGGTGGGAATGGAACAATCCAAGAAGGAGGAAGATTTACTAGGAAGACATGTCAAGAAACTGAATGCAGATATTGAGATGAAAGAATGCCTACAGGATGAAAATCCGAAATAGAGGACAAGTGGACAACAACCTGAAATATGGACCTCAACTATTAAGGAAGGACAGAGAACTCAGATTTCTTACAAAGCTATGCTAGTAGGACACGAGAAACGAGCTTTTAATCTAGATTTGGAGGAGCAAATGAAAGAGTGGTTGAAAGAGGAGGATGACACAGCCCCCTAGTTGACTGAAGACCAGAAGAAGATTTTTGACTCGCTTCCGAAGTTAAACATGCTAGATGAATGATTGAACAAATTATGCAGACCTTGGAAAGATGTTCTAATAATCTCCTTGCTTGGAAAGAGAACTAACCTGAATATGATGAGGGATAGAGTCTCGGCGCTACTCAAGTCTAACAGCTTTGAACTCATTGATCTACCCAACTATTATTACGTCTTTTGAACTGATAACAAAGAATTAAGTAAAAGACTTTTATTTGACGGACCTTGGGTTATACAGGGATTCTATTTAGCTGTCCAGAGGTAGAGCCTGAATTTCAACCCATTCTGCAACAAAGTAAAGAAACTAGCGGTCTGGGTAAGAATTCCGACGCTATCGATGCACTGCTACACAGAGAGTTTCTTGCTGGAACTAGGAAATGTGATCGGTAGAGCTTTAAAGGTTGACCTCAACACTCTAGCACAATGCAAAAACAACAACCTAGTTGTAGAAAGAGGGAAATTTGCAAGAGTTAGTGTGGAAATAGATCTTAATAGGCACCTCCAATCCAGATTTGTGATCAGAAAAAAAGTGTATACAGTGGAGTACGAGGGGCTTGACATTATCTGTTTTAGTTGTGAAATGTATGGGCATAATAAAGAGCAATGCTCCATCAATGAATCAAATGAGGGCCAGACAACAAGAGAAGAAACACTGGGTAATCAAGCTCCGGCGCCGATCAACACAACCGACGGAAAACAACCTGGTTGGTAATTGGCGATTTTAATGCCTATCTCTCTAGTGAAGATAAAAAGGGTGGCTCAAATCCTAATCTCAGATCTATGAAATAGTTTGGTGAATGCATTCAAGAACCTATCTGCTGGAAGTGGAGTGCATAGGGGAAAGATTCACCCGGGAGAGAGATCTTCTGAAGGAACGTATTGACTGGGCCTTTATGAATATGGAATGGCATGCTCTGTATCCCTTTACTGTGGTGTAACATCTTAATAAATTTGGGTCGGATCATAGGCCTATTCTGCTGAAAAGCTCTCCTAAAAGGTCAACAAGAGGCCTAATATGCCTTTTTGATGCCAAGCAGCTGGACTTTGGAGGAGGGCTTTGATGAAGTAGTGAGAAATTGCTAGAAAAGGAAGGATTGGGCGAAAAAATTAAGTCCTTGGCCAGAGAAGCAGGGGATTGGAACAAGAAAAAAATAGGGAATCTTTCTACCAAAAAAAGGAATCTGCTTAATAGAATAGAAGGGGTAGAGTGGGCCTGCTGAAGAAGAGATGGTCAACATCTAGTCTAGGTTGAAAGAGAGTTATGGAGAGATTATAATAAGGTCCTTGCACAAGAGGAATTGCTGTGGTACCAAAAATCTCGCTGTAATTGGTTGAAATGGGGAGATAGAAATAGCAAGTTCTTTCATACTACTGCTCTAATCAGAAGAAGGAAGAATAGAATAGAGGGACTCAAAAATTCTGAAGGTGAATGGATCTTTGATCAGGATAGATTAAAAAGCATGGCAGTGAACTATTATGGGGAACTATTTAAAAGTGAGAGAAAAACCGGTGGCCATCTACAAACTGTAAATAATTTCCCCCCTCTAAATGAAGCAGATACTTGCAATCTAGCTGCAGGAGTCACTAATAAAGAAATTAGGAGAGCAGTCTATGAGCTTGGAGCTTTTAAGGCACCAGGGCCAGATGGGATACAAGCTTTCTTCTACCAAGAGTACTAGGGGCTAATAAGGGAGTCGGTCTGCGATATGGTTAAAGCTTGCTTCTTGGAGCCTTGGAACGTTATCGAGCTAAATGACACAAACTTAGTGCTTATTCCTAAAATAGAAAAGCCAGAGATGATGAAAGATTTTAGACCAATCTCACTGTGTAACGTTAGCTACAAGATCATTACCAAAGTGATTAGCAGCAGGCTGAAACACATTATGGGGAAAGTTGTTGGAAGCCACCAGTGCAATTTTATTTCAAGAAGACAAAGCAGTGACAATATAATTATAGCACAGGAAGTCATCCATTCTATGAAATCGAAGCAAGGCAACAGCGGATGGCTAGCTGTAAAGGTGGATTTAGAGAAAGCTTATGATAGACTAGAGTGGAGCTTCATCTTGAATACCCTGCAAGAAATTGGCCTTAATAGGAAATTGTGTGATCTCATTATGGCCTGCATAAAAAACTCATCTTTCAAAGTATTGTGGAATGGTGAAACCTCAAGTCCTATTCTTCTATCTAGAGGAATTAGACAGTTTTGCCGTACATTTTTACCCTTTGCATAGAACAGTTGAATCACATCATCAAAGATGCCATTGAGGAAGGGGATTGGACACCAATCCAGCTTAGTATAGGAGGCCCGCTGCTATCACACCTCTTCTTTGCCGATGACTTAATTCTCTTTAGGGAAGCTTTAACTACTCAGGTGGACATAATGCTTGATTGTATTAAGAGATTTTGTGACATGTCCAGACAGAAAATGAATAAGATGAAAACAAAAGTTTGCTTCTCTAAGAATGTTCATTTTTCTCGAGCTATGGAACTAAGCCAACGGATGGGAGTTGGCTTGACAGGTGACTTGGGTAAATATTTAGGGATCCCCCTTGTACATAGAAGAGCCTCTTATGTTACTTTTGCTCCCATAGTAGAGAAAGTTCATCAGAGAATGGTTGGTTGGAAGGGAAGCTGTCTCAACCTCGCAGGAAGGGCTACTTTAATACAAGCAGTACTATCTGCTCTCCCCACCTACCACATGCAAACAATGCTTTTGCCTCAAAGAATTGTGGTTGATCTTGAGAAGAGAAGTAGAAGTTTCTTATGGGGGGAGAAGGAGGAGGAAAAAAAACTCCATCTTCTCTCCTGGGACCTTGTAACGAAGTTGAAGGAAGAAGGAGGGTTGGGCATCAAAAATCTTTGGAAGTAGAATGAAGCCTTCATAATGAAGTTATGTTGGAATCTTCTCACCAACAGAGAAGCCCTTAGAGTTAAAGTCCTTTGGTCGAAATACAATTGTGGAGTAGATAAAATGCTGTCAGTTCATAAGAAGGCGGCCTCCTCTCTAACTTGGACAAGCATTTGCTCAATCTGGCCTAAATTTTCTAGAGGAGTAGGAGTAAGAATAAAAAATGGTGAACATGCAGCTTTCTGGTTGGACAACTGGTTAGAACTAAATATCCCTCTTATTGATCTTGTTCCTGGGTATGAGGTTGTGATTGATAAGAAGGAAAAGGTGAAGGATTATGTGAACAATTCAGGAGAATGGGACAGGGTTAAAATGGGGGCCTGGCTCCATCCCCACATCATAGATCGCATCATGAGTGCACACCCACCCTGTGAGGAGAGAGGAGAGGACAAGTTCATCTGGAAACCATCCACTGATGGTTGTTTTACTGTTAACTTTGCTTATCATTTTCTCTTTGCAGGTATCCATCATAATGTAGATAGCATCTGGAAGAGAGTTTGGAAATGGAACATCCCTGAGAAGATCAAGACCTTCATGTGGTTATTCTTACATGGAAGGATCCATACAGAAGAACTACGAGCAAGGAGAGGCTTGAGTGATACAGGTAGATGTCCTTTTGGATGCAATCAAGAAGAAGATCAAATGCACCTCCTGAGAGACTATTCCAATGCTAGGCAAAGATGGCTTTCAGTTGTTAGCCATACAAAGTGGGAGTAATTTCTCTCCCTACAAGGAACAGAGTGGATTAAATGGAACCTTACTCATGAAATAGGCAAGGAACATACCAGAAAAGTTACTTGGTCTATGCTGTTTGGGTACATCTGCTAGGACATTTGGGTGGCAAGATGCAAGAAAGTGTTTCAGGATGAAGACATAAGTGAACTTGGGAATGCAAATAATAGCTTTTTCTGAGCTTGCTTAGATCAATATCTTTTAATAAATTACGACTTCTACATGGGATGCAAGAGAAAGAGGCATGAAGAAGAAGACCAGAGCAAGGATAGGGTAGTGCTACAAGTAGATGCTTCTATCCTACACTCTGGTAGAAGTGGATGTGAAGGAGCAATATGGGGAATAGATAGAAACTGGATATATGGGTATAGCTGCAAGCTCACTATGTTACTGATAGTAATCGCCGAAACAATTGCAATGACTCACGGGCTGTATCTTTGCTAGAATAGGGGGCTCAAGAAAGTTGAGATCCATTCAGACTGCATGGAAGCTGTTAACCTGGTTTTGAGAGGGTGTGAGGAAAAT